GCCAGGTTCCGCTCCCAGGCTTCCCACTTGGCAGGTGGCTCTGAGAGGCTCCAGCACAGGAGAGGGAGGGAAGCAGCCTCCTCTGGGTGGGCTCTCTGAACCATTCTGTGGAACGAGGCGAGGCCTCAGCTCCAGTGGTGGCAGGTGGCATTTCCACACCCATCCCTGCCCTGGGGGTCATCTCACACTCAGAGCCCCCTTTGCCAAGCCCCTCCTCTGTTCTGTTACCCAGCCCTTCTGAAACCCTGCCCCATTGGGCCCAATGAAGGTCAGCTCTCTGCCAGGGAGAGCGCTGGGTTGAAGGAGGGAGAGCAGCCCTCCTTGCTGCCAACATCGGGCACCTGGAGCCTATGGGGTTTGGCCTCGCTTCCTTGGGGCAAACTAGCTCCCGTCCCCTCCCCCCCAAACCTATGGCTTTGGTGCAGAGCCCAGCAAGGTGAAACAGAAGAGAAGGGGGGGAGGGAAGGGAGGTTCTGTGGCTCAGTTTGTGGCAAAGTGTTTCCTTCCCCCCTTCCTATGTAAAAAGTGCACAAAAGCTCCGCAGCCTCTTTGCAATGTCAGCAGTATTTCCTGGGGTTGGGGAGAAGGAAGCAGGAGGAGGGCCCCAGGCCTGGCACCCCAGCTTGCTACTGAAGGTTGCCTCATATTGCTTAGAAACGTGTGTTTCAGTTTAAATACCAGACAGTAAAAATAGAGTTCGAGGACCGCCTGCACTGTTGCCAAATCATTGCCAGAATGAACAGCTTAAATAAATTAAAAAATCGAAATATTTACTTCTCGATAAAAATCGCAGTAAAACCATTTACCTTTCTTTGTATTATATATAATATATATTTATAGTGGGCCTGGCTACCGTCGCTGAGCCAAGGGCACCGAGGGCGGCAGAGAGGCTAAGGCGCTAGGATCCCGCAGAGGGGTCAGGACACCTCGATGACCTCCACGCTGCCGGAGAAGCTGGCCTGCTTGCCCAAGGCGGCCAGCTCCTCGCCCCGCGCGCGCCCCTCTACCATCCCCTCCTCTTATTCCATCTGGCAGCTTCTGCGCTTGAACTG